ATTCAATTCTATTCGTTAGATTCAGATTGTTTGCTTCCCGAACTTATAAAACGTTTTTTCAAATATATTTAGCATTTCAAATCGATATTACTTTTTAAAAAAATATTGAAATAAAATAAAAATGATAAGATTGAAAGAAAATAGAGGACTAAGATTTAAAGTAAGACTTTAATATATATATATATATATATATATATATATATATATATATATATATATATATATATATATATATATATATATATATATATATATATATATATATATATATATATATATATATATATATATATATATATATATATATATATATATATATATATATATTATGATCTTACATGTGATCAGAATAAGTGAGTGGCTAGCAAGACGTCTGTAGTTCTGAGCGATCAACGAAAGAGGGGATTGTACCTGCAGGAACTCTGATGCTTAAGTTAGTTCGGGTGAAGAGGTAAGTGAAAAAGGGTTAGAGAATAGAATACATGACCCTCCTGCAAAGGAGAGTTTTTATAGTGAGCCCCCAGCATTTGGCCAATGGTCCTCGTCATGGGTTGAGTGGTAAGGCCCAATAACAAATAACTGCCAGGATTCCTACGTGAAAGTATAGATGAGCATCTCGTGCTCATCATCCTGGATCAACCGCTCCACACTTTCCGGATAGTGAACGACCATGCCCGTTACGAAGGGCACAACGTCAGTCACGTGAACTGTGTGGGTTCGGTTGATGACGTGTCATCGGGTGAGGAGCACGTGGGAAATGTGTGCTCCACTGATCCTAACGGATTAGGCCATCACTTTTGGTCGTCCTCGATGTAGAACTGGATTGGGTTATACTCGACGATTGGTCAGCCACGGGCCTAGTCCAGAATAGGAGCCACCTAATTCATTGCGCCTAGGCAAAGGAGCAATTACTTAGAGTCAGTTCGTGTGTCAAGGAGGAGCAAGGTACTATGAGAGAAATGAGCCTTCATTCAGGCTCGCAATAGTGAGCTTGTGTCACCGTAGATGGTGCTTGCCATAAGAGTCTCTTGTTCGTGAACGACCATGCCCGTTACGAAGGGCACAACGTCAGTCACGTGAACTGTGCGGGTTCGGTTGATGACGTGCCATCGGGTGAGGAGCACGTGGGAAATGTGTGCTCCACTGATCCTAACGGATTAGGCTAACACTTTTGGTCGTCCTCGATGTAGAACTGGATTGGGTTATACTCGACGATTGGTCAGTCACGGGCCTAGTCCAGAATAAGAGCCACCTAATTCGTTGCGCCTAGGCAAAGGAGCAATTACTTAGAGTCAGTTCGTGTGTCAAGGAGGAGCAAGGTACTATGAGAGAAATGAGCCTTCATTCAGGCTCGCAATAGTGAGCTTGTGTCACCGTAGATGGTGCTTGCCATAAGCGTCTCTTGTTCGTGAGTTTGCATACACGAGGACGATATTTTACTCGTAATTCATTGGTTTTCGCTTACGAAGAATATACATTATGCCGAGGTTCCGGTCGAGAGTTTATCCTACGCTCGCGTTGAGCGTTTGGTTTTGCTCACGAGTTATCATGTTGCTCGTAAATCTGCTTCAAGTTTTTCCCCGAGGCCATGCTCGTGAGGGAATGCAAAAGTTATTCATTTGTGTTCGACAAGCAGTGCTCGATATCTTGGAATTCGAAAGGTTGATGGAACTTGAAAGGAAAAATGTTTTGTCCCCTCGAGTCATGTGTAACAACTATTAAATGTGTAATGATGGCTCATTAATAGGGGTAATTATGAGTCAAAACGGCGACACGTTTCCCGAACGGTGCTACGCTTGCCCATGTAGTAGAGATGGCTTATAAGTGGGGAGAGTAGAGGGACATTTGCAAAGTTCGCTCATTTTGCAATGTTTAGTTTTCTTCCCTCCTCTATTTTTCCTAAGATTTGTAGAGCATTGCCTCCGCCATCGTTATTGCCGGAACATCTTCAACCTTCATCTATTTTCCAAATCTCATAAGTTTTCTCTCTTCCTGGTTTGCATGTTGATGTTAGTTTTAGAATGTTGATTTGTTTCTCTTTTGCGTTTGGTTCTGGTGAGTGTTGGTGTTTGGAGGTGGTTTAGCCATTTTCAAACATCGGCGCTGGTGGGGAACATGTTATTTTTTAGTAGGAAACCAGTATTTCGTGTTTTATTTCTTTTCGGAACCACCGTTATGATGGTGAATAAAAATTGCACCGGTGAGACTCATGAGTTTTATGATGAAACTGTGTCGAAGAGAATGTTCCCTGCAAAATTCATGAGTTTTATGATGAAACTCTATGTCGAGGAGACTGTTCCCCGTGAAATTCATGCTTTTCGTTGGATAAGGGCTTTGGTCGAGGGTAGTTCCCTCATGCCTCTCTTTATCCTTTCACTTGATTTGCAGTGGAGGATGAATTTGATTTGATCGTAGAATTCACTGCCATCATTCGTCTTTCAGGTTTTAATGGCTCGTTGCACCAAGGGTATTTTCCTAGTCGACACAATCAACGATCCTGAAATAATTGGGTCGGGACGGAACCCCGAGGGATAGCCTTTCATTTTGCTGACTGCCCAGAGACCGCATTTACGATCGTCGAAGAAGGCGCGAGCTATCCGGGGGCTCCGGAGAACTGGGCGGTTTATAAAACTGGGCAGGATGAGCGGATATGCTCGCGTTTCTCGGGGAACTGTTTCACCATGTACGAGTATGCCTTCAAAGAGTTGGGGCTTCGTTTTCCGTTCAACGGTCTGCAAATGGGCATTTTTTATTGGTTGGAGTTAGCGCTCTCTCAGTTGCATCCGAATCCAATTGCGTTTATTCGAGCCTTCGAGACTGTGTATCAATATCTTGAGACCGGCGCCACCATTCATCTATTCTTCCACTGTTTCCACCTTCAACGACAAAATTTGAATTGGTACAGTTGAGTGTCCCTCAAGCAGCCGAAGAAACTGTTCAAAACGTTCATGGACTCCGTTCGCACCTTTAAGGATAGGTATTATACAAGCTCGTAAGTCGAGCAGCCATCGACTCTGTGTTTGAGCAGATGGTTGTAACCGAGGAAGATGGGAGTGTGTGTCATGACGCGGACGGGGATGAGGTGACGAGGATGGTCTCGAAGTTCTATATTCGCTGGAGTAGCGACCATTTCGAGCAGAGTACGGATCATTATATTACTAAGCCTAACGAGTTGGACTCCGAGGACCAACGTGGCTACGACAAGCTTGTGAAGTTCGTCGATAATTTCGCTCCTTCTCGGTGGAAGACTAAGAATGGGGAGGTTGTCCTCGACGAGCAAGTCAACCCATTTACGAGACTCAATATATCAACACTAAAGAGCTCCTCGAGTATGATACTGTTGAGGATGCTATATTGCTTTTAGGTAGTTGTTTTTATTTTAACATGTTTGTATGTTTTTTCTTCCTCAGTATAATAACCTATGCCCGTCAATTGTTGGAGATAAAATGACAGACCTTCAAGATCGTGTGATCCAGATGGCGATGAACAGGGAGAAGATTGCACAGGGCCAAAACAAGAGCTCTAAGAATCACTTTGTCCAAATCCTGAATCAGTCCAAGGGTGACTCTGGTACTTCCTTTTCATCGGCGGGCAACCAATCTTCCCCTCGACAAGACACCCCGAGCAAGAAAAGGTATCGTGTGAAGAATGTCGTGAATATAGATCTCACGGGGGATGTTGTCGAGGACAAGTTCGTGCTACCCCTTTTCTATCTTAACAGGGGTTCTTTAAGGAGGTTCATTCGCTAGTTGTGCCTCGGGCAGATTCTTCAGCCATCCTAGGCCTCGACGCGGCGGGCACAAAAAAGGCACTAGTTCGAGATGCGACTGCTTTGATGAGGGTCCTAGAAATTCTTATGGTCCTTAATGGCGGGGAGACCTGCTCTGCTAGCAAGCTGAAGAAGTTACAAACAACAAATGAGAAGCTGGAAGCGAAGGTGCTCAACTGGAAACCGCTTTTGACACTATAAGAGGAAGTATAAGATCCATAGTGTGATTGTCACCGAGCTGCGTGAGAAGAAAAAGGAATTGGCCAAGTTAACCGCGAATATGAATGCTTTGACGCTCGAGCATGCTAACGAGAAAGCCTATTTTATTTGAACCTTTTCAAATAAGCAAACCAATTAATGTTAAAATAAACTAACAAATTAAAAGATTAATTAGATTAAATATTTATTTGCATTAACTTATTCAAGTTTACCTATTAAGATGCATTTTGTGATACTATTTGTTTGATAGAACTTATGAAAACAACTTATAATATTGTTCATAAGGTTTTTTCAACATATTTTCATAAGTCCTTCTAGACATCTAAAATTTATTTTTGTATTTTAATTTAAAATACAAACACCATATGATAATAAAATTATTCATATTTATTTAAATAGGTCAGCTTGATAGAATTAAAAGGCTTTTTTTACAGCCTACGGTCTAGCCTTTTTAACTAAATAGACTTATACAAAAATCTGAGCCTTTTCTATTAAAAAAAATCTGATCTGACCAGAGCCTATATAGACTAGCCCATAGGCTCCTGTTATTGGCCTGATTTATTTCCATCCCTAACCACAAGTTAATAATGAAATTGGCAAAATATTAAATTTGATCCCTTAAATTATAAGTATCAATTTAATTTCTTACATTAAACTTATTCTAAAATTAATTCTAAAAAAAAATAAAATCAACCCTCTGAGGAAATTTCTATTAGACTATAAGGCATTCCGTTGCACAACAAAAGAAATCTCTATTAAATTATAGACTACAATTAAGTCAAAACTCCATAGGAGACATAACCTAATCTACATTAAGCTTAGAAACTCTACAGAAATTTTAGAACCAAAATATTTAAAAAGAAACTAGGATAATTTACCACCATCATATATAACACCAACATTAAAGCTTGCCTCAAAAAACATGTTAATGGTTCTCTAAACTAAACAGCAAAATCTCCAGATACAATTCCAGAAAGAATTTGTATTGTATGATACTTCTAATTTCTAAAAGTCATTCTTCTGAGTAGTTGTCACTATCTCCCTCATATATCTGGTATTCTTCATCACTACCATTTTCCTGCGCTTTGTTGCCGTCAATTTCATCAGATGGAAAGCTACCAAACAGATCCTGTAAATGGGTCATTGAAATATTGAGACCTGAAAATTATTAAGGAATTCAAGTTCCAGCAGGCCTTTCCAGTTTCCATCATAAATGATTAAACAATATCAAACAACTTAGTTCAAATAGAAAAGGATACGAGAAGGAGACGGCAGAGGCATTTCAGTATCTCCGATCTACACAAGCCAACGGCATAAATTAATTAGAAACTATCATTTTTAAAAACCATTACTAACACAACAAACCCTTGAAAAAAACGAAAAAAAATCTGAAAAACATAGATAAGTATTACCAGATCAAGTTCTTCTTCCGATTCCTCCTGGTCGCTATCATTAGCCTCAGCTGCCTCCCTGTCCTCATCCTCAATATTGTCAGGCTCTTCACTTTCTTCCAAGCCTTTGTTTCAGATACAAAAGGTTTTATTATTTGTTGTTAAAAAAAAAGTATTTACCATGCCAATAGAGTAATTTTTAGTAACCTGTATTAGCTTGCTGGGATTCCACTCCATCAAGCTTCACAGTGATCCTATTGCACTCCTTCTTCATTTTCTTAAACTTGTTAGTAGCAGCCTTGAGTAAATTCTCTACGCCAGGATTGGGAAATATTGATAGGTACCTCACCATAAGAAGTTGTCTAATACAATTGATCTTTCGGGGTGAAAACCACCCAGATTCGAACTGCAAAAATAGAATGTAAGATACAACCTGGATAATTATGGAATTTTTTACAGTAACATAATACATGAAATTAAAAAATAAATGAATATGCCGACATAAAACGAGAGATAATAATTCATAAGAAAATCTTACTGTGCAAGTTCCCTGCATTGGAGGTTTATTTATTTCAGCTTGAATATAATCATCAACAAGCTCAAAGAGCTGTAAAGATGTTTGGAACTTGTAAGGGAAAGTACGGAAGGCGCATATATCCCCCCATCTATGTTCCAATCTGCATGAAATGATACCCTTAAAAAATGAGAGCACAACACAAAATGTACTATAGAAATCAGTGTCAATAACTAGTTTTGTTATATGAACTTGGAAATCTGCAAAGAAATTTAACTCAGATTGTAACGGGTTCCAAAATGTATTTCTCTACACTTGTGTCTGTCTACATATATTATTTTACATTGCTAATAGTTTTTTATTTTCCTACGCATATACACATGTAGAGTTACTTTCCAAAATACAGTTAATTAGTTTGCTCCGTAAAGCAAGAAATAATTGAACAAAATGACTTACTTATTGGCCAAGTGAGTATCAAGGTAACTTCGCAATGGGACTGGTACTCGATAATCAATTCTTTGATAACTGCAAAACCAAAAAATTTGAACAAGTTCAATATATTAAATATACTCCAACGAGAGATGTTAGGATTGTGGCCATGTAGGTTTAGTATTCAATGGTACATGTGCATAGAAACTATAAAACTAACAACAGACAATATTTGCTAATGCTACATCATGTATTAAAACATTAATCTGTTTATTATGTGACTATAACACTTTGAGTGCAAATGTATGATCGAAGTGAAACCGAATAGATTATTTAAAAATCAGGACTAAGTCTTACATGCGAGAATCAGGATCTTTGCGTGGATCGTATCCTTTCTTTATCCAGAACCTTAGAAATGGTCCGCTCGAAAAGTAGTAAGCAATTCTAGATAGAAGCCTGCCGGAGGGATTGGAAGGTCACCTTATTATCAAGGTCAAGCCATTAAATTCTAGAAAATTTGAAAGCTAATCAGCAGAATTTCCACAAGTCACCTTCTAATCATGCCATGTGAAAAGCTTAAGCCCTTCTCGAGCAGGCGCTCAGTAAGTGAGTTTTTGCACCATATAGGTTTCTCATCAAACAATCTAGATACGGCCATTTGTGACTCCCATTGATTTGAGCCTTGTGGTATGTATTCCTCCCAATTCACTTTTTTTGGAATTTGTAAGACAGTTAAGTAAAACAAAAACCACAAAAGTGCAATTTTTTTGCAATATGTTTAAATATATTTTCCTTTCCAAAGTGAATATCAACACAAAAACACATGACAGTTTATAAAAATGAAAATGAAAAAAATTAGTAGCAATCTAGCACTTCAACATCTTGTGCCAAAAAATCAGCTAAACATGCCAAGTAATGAACTTTATGTATCAATAAGCCATTGCCTGACAAAGAATTACTACTTAGAACTCCTGAAGAGAACGTTATGCTTAATTTCCATCTCTTTCCTGTTCAGAAAGCAGTGAATAGAACATTCCACGACAGGACAACTTGTGATGAGAGAAATAGATCTCTTCGTTACTAACATGCGAACTAAAGCAGACATGCAACTCATTTAATACATTATAATGATTATATTAATTTACGTTACTACAGTAAACAAGTCCTTTTAAATACTAGTGTATTGTTAATGTATCATTAGAAGCCACAAATTTTCTTTTCTAGAAGGTGGTCAAGGTAAAACTGTCAGGTACTTGACAATTAACAACCTTTGTTAACTTTCATAGGAAAAACATCCCAGGATGTACAACAAATGACATCAACCAAAACTATTTTTTTTTAATTATTTTAGTAGTGCTGAGAACATTCAAACATATAAATTTGGAAAATCACCAAGAAAGCACCTAATTCATTTTGGCATTAATAAAACTAAAACTTTTATACCCAAAAAAGAGTGACAATTGAACATATCTATATTCTACATGTGTAATTCAAATGCTTTTTAATAGAAAACGGAGGAGTAACTTGAAAGCTAATATTTTTTAATAAAAAACACTCGCAACATGTTTGATCATGGATTCAGATATATAAAACACGAGTGAATTTAAGCAAGAAAAATCTTATTGTTGATAATTATATATGTATATGTATATAAAGAGAATATTCTCTAGAATATTTCTTAGAATATTCCTTAGTGTATTCTAGAATAGGATAGAATATCTATGTAATTAATATTAGGATTTGTATTTTCTCCTATATAATGCATCTTCCGCTGTGTTATTCAGACACACGGTTTATTCAAATGTCTTAGTCTCTCGTATTTCAACATGGTATCAGAGCCTACTGAGAGACAGCCCTTCGCCGTGCTTTACCCGGTTGACCCACTGTCTTCCGGTGAGAAATTTTTTACTACATTCACCGTGGGGAAAACAAAAATATGCATATTATAATCAAATAGAACTTTTCAGCCTCAGTAAACTTTAAATATGATGGTTCTACTAATTATGAGTAGGATATCTTTAATGTGAAAATCAAGTGCAAGAACTGGCTCCCTGTCGATCTGCGCAAAATATTGCAACATGTAAGTTTTCTTTCTATAAATATTACATGACTGATGCCACAAAAACAGCTATGTCTTATCCCACCAGGTGTATATGACCAATGCTACCTAAATGAAAATTATGTAAAATCTATTTTGATTGTCATCCAGCTATGAAAAATATGTACCGCCTTAAAGCCCGTTTTTTAAATAATCCAAAGGATTGAATTTTATGCCTGCACTACATCCTATTATAATATTAATTTGAGCTAAATTACCTCAAAATGGGGCTGTGCAATTTCCTGGTCATCTTTCTTTTTTGAACTTAACACGGTAGGTAGTCTCAAGCTGAAATAGGACAAAGTATAAACAACTGAGAAGGGAAGTAAAGGCAAGATGAAATTTTCCAGTCAACTTTATGAAGTAACCCAAGAAAATGTTAGAACATAAAGCTTCAAATGTCGATAACTAATATAATAATATAACATAACTGAACATAGTATAGTACAACTAAGAACTTCATGATCACCTGCCAACCATTAGTGGAGAGACAAGGCAAAAACATCTAATACAATAGCTTAGAATCTAGCATAACCATCTAAATACCCCAAGCTATAGAACACGCATGTCACTGTATGCAAGACGACTCTCCCATCATTTAGATATTCGAATGGGTCTTAAATGATTTAAACAGTATAACAATATCCATGATTTTTCTCTAAATAAGTGAGTATCTCTAAATGACAGTTTGAGAAACATACACTAAGTTTTCTGGTATGTCTTTTGGAGAAAAAATTGGAGGCACTATGATCATAATGTCGTCATGATCCACTTCTATACGACTGTCCTTAGCTAAGAAAGAATACAAACAATCATTAGCTTTGTAAAACTACCATTAAACATACTTCAAAAATATTGAGACAAAGAAACAGAAACAATGAAACAAAATAATCACCTAAGATTGTTTCTTCTGGTTCTGACCAATTTCTCTTCTTCCTCTTTGCAACATCCGCATGGACAGGAACAACATACTGGTAGTCAGCCATTCCTTCATAATTGGCAAAAATAAAAAACATAAATTTGTTCAAAAGGTTCACAAAGGTAACCAATCTACATCAAATCACCAAAATCAATTCCATTTCATGTTTCAAACTCTAACCTTCAAAGAAATAAGCCTCTGGAACATGAGCAACGATATCAGCACAGAGATTTTCCTTTTCATCTACTTTATCATCAGCTCCGTCCTCACTTTCTACATGATTTTCTTCCATCCCATGCTCCATTCCACACATGCTATTAGAAGCTTCGGCACCATCAGCATCAGGAAATTTCTTCTTCGATATTTTCAGAAGCAAAGCATTAGTGGGACGTCGCTCCCCAAATGCAGGATGAGAATAAGGGTCTTCCGGGCGGAACCTGAGCTCTAATCTGTTCGACTGTGAACTGCGAGCCTACAGATTACGAGCATGGTCATAATTATAACCAGCATAGAGATAAGTTTGCGAATCATAATATTTTTTAACGAAACTTGCGAAGTACCTTAAGGATGCCCTGAGTTCCACCCAGTGTGTCGAGAGCACGAGAGGTTGAGGATGGATAACCAGGATAGTGCACCAGAAATCCATGAGGCTTTGGTAGGACACCGGAGATTGTGCCATCCTTGATCACTCCCATTTACTCCTAGCCAGTGCGGAGCCAGGAACCTAGTTTAGGGGGTACAAACTTTTGAACGTTAATTAATAATTATAATAATATATATTCACAAAAATTACTTTGTACTAAAGAATTACACATACTCTACCATTGTCCTCTACACTCAATTGTACTCTATGTGGTCTAATAATCAACTCATTATCAAGTTTGTTGAACACATCTTTCTCAATAAAAGTCTTAAGACAATCATTCATCCATTCATCTCCTATTCGACTCTGCAATCTAGTCTTTAAAATCTTCATAGCAGAAAAGGATCGTTCATCAGTTGTTGTGGCAACAGGAAAAACCATTGCTAACTTCAAAAGCTTATACAACAATGGATAAACCATATGTCTTCTACTTTCAACCATTTTTTTAGAAAGATCACTTATTCCTTTCAATGATTGAAATTCAACACTCCCACGCATATCGATGATGTAAGTCTCAAGTTGATTATCAAGCATCACCTATAAACTCTAAGTCATACCTATAGCCATATTGAATTTACAACACAGTACCATTAAATTTTTGAAGGACCATAAACTCTAAGTCATAATTATAGCCATATTGAATTTACAACACAGTACTACCTTAAACTCTAAGTTATACTTATATTTCAATTCTAAGTAGCAATACAGTACCTTAAATTGTAAGCATAAGCCATAAATTCTAAATACTATTAGTTCTAACTTCTTAAGCTATAAATTATGTCATACCATTACCAGTAATATAAATAGATTACAGAATTGGACAAAAATTGTCATACCAGTAGCATAAAAAATTGTCATACCAATAGCATAAAAATTTCTAGCAGTAGCATGAAAATTTGTCATACCAGAATAAAAACTTGCAGCAACAATAGTACCATAAATAGTCATTACAGAGAAAAGAATGGGAAAATAAAAGAGATCAAACTTTTCACAAATACTCACATGCTCATTCTCACATGTTTCATAAAAGGGAAAGTAAATTTGAAGAAGGGAAAAAAATTTTCACAAAACCCTAAAATCAAATTTTCAAATTGATTACCTAAATGATTGTTTGATTGATGTTGAAGGCTGCAAAATCGGTTTAATGTAACTATAGCTATGTAAAAAAAATTGGAAATTCAAGGTTTGACAAAACTCTACCAGTGAAGTTTGTTGAAAACAGAGGATGGGAAAGATGAAGGATGTGGCTGGAATGAAGTGATAGCGGGGGTGAAGTGCAGGAGTCGTAAGGTGGTTGTCAGCGGAGCAGCGTGGCACGGAGGAGGGTGGTGAAGGCTGCCGCGTGCGTGGGGTATAAGGGCGGCGCGGTGTGAAGGGGCGGCCGGAGGCAGTAACAGGGGAGAATAAATTTGAATTTCAGCAGTTAAGTGGACCCATGGGACACATCAGTGAAAGTTAGAATAATTTTAGAAAGAAAAAAAAACTGTATAAGACAAAAAGAGATAATATTTATTTTGAAAGTAAAAAGATGCGAGAGAAAATAATTCATGAGAAAAATATAGAGAAGGTTAGAGAAAGATAGAGAATTAAAAATTAGAGGTTAAATTTTAAACATATGATAGAACATATGGCAGCTCTAAGAAAGAAATTGAATTGTCGGAAAGTAAAATAGGGGTTGCTCAATTCACCTCATAATTAATTGTTCACTTATCACGCTAAAAAAATTAAAAATATCATTATGTTTTGAATTTTTATAATTGAAAAAAAAATACAAATAAAAATTATTTATTTATAATTGTTGTACTCCAAAATTTGTTCATTCATTTATCAAGAATTTGCTCACAAGATTTCCTTTGGCTCAAGACTGCACTAGAGTTGATCAGCTCAAGACACCTCCTTAAACACTGATGATCAAAATTAGGGTTTGAGATTACATAAGGATATTTGAACTTTCAATACCCCGTGTGACTTTCATGGATCATTATGGACCCTCAAGATTACTCATGTCAAGTTTCAAGCTTTGGATCACATTTTTGCTTAGTCAATTGAGCAGTTGACCTAAAAATCAGTTGTATTGAGGAAAAAGTCAATTGTGGCCAATTCACAGTCAAACTTTATAATTTTTGACCCACATTAATATTTTAAACTCATATGTATCATTTGATCAAGTTTGGACCATAATTCCTCAAGAAATTTGATCAAATCTTCAAAAGGGCAAAATGGTCAAAATTAGGGTTTTAATTGGGAAAGGGCAATTTCTGATTTTTGACCTAGCAAATGATCAACTAGTTTAAAGCTTGATCTCAAGAGTCCAATTGCATCATTTTTACCTAATGACATGGCTCAAAATATTGCTCAAGTCCAATGGATTAGCAGATGAATTTTCAGTCAACTGATCAAAAGTCAATTGTATACTGAAAAGTCAAACTTTAACTTTTTGGTCAAAATCAAATGTCAAAGATCACAATTCATCAAAGCATGTCAAAATATGAAACTTATTCATCAAGAAATAAAAAATTCAAGATTTCATTTTGAAAAGTTAAAATTTCTAAAACTTAGAAATTTTTCTAAGTGTTGGAAATTTCTTATTTTTTCACAACTTTAAGCAAAATTTTCACCATGATGCAAGACTATTCAAAAGAAACTTCCAACATGAAAGTTGTAGATCTCCATGAAATCTACAACTTTTCTTTACACAACTCCTTCTAAAAGTGCTTGGATCTCAAGTTATAATTTTAAGAATATATGGTCATGAAACAAAACACTTAGTGAAATTTTTGCCCTAATTTGGTCAGGATTTTGACCCAACTTCATGGAACTTTTTCATATAGTTCCAGGGGGAATTTTCAAAAGTGATTCAAAGATGGGTTGTATAGCACATTGCAAGATTTCTAAAATGTCCAAGAACTCCTTGAGATCATTTTTGAGTAGGGAGAATCGAAGAGATGAAGTTAGGGTTTTATCACTTGAATTACAAGTCATTTTGTGATGAACAAGATTCAAAATTCAAACTTATGCTGCATAACCTCTACTTTGTAGGCCTCAAACTTGTTAGGAACTCCATAATTAATTGCTTGCACAGTTGTTAGAGGTCTCATTTCAAGCATTCAATGCAAAGCCATACTTTATATCCATTTTGAGAAGAAAGTGCACATTGCCATTTTGATAAAGTGACTTTTTACACAAAACTTGTTCTTGAGCCTTGCAATTGCTTTCTTCGGATCATACAAGTCCCATAACTCAAGAGAAACTTGTTAAACACTTACAATCACTCATCCCGTGCTTGTACCTCCTCTTGAAACTTGTTTTCCCACTTTTCTTCAAAATCAAGTAACCTAGCAATTAGCTTGTAACTTGTACTTCTGACTCTTCAAAGCACTTAAACCTCTCTGCTTATACATACACAAGTCATTTTCCACAAATCCCACACATGCTTAAGCCCTAAAAAGACCAAGAACATAGAATCACCAAAAACACTTCAAAACTTGTCATTTCTGAGTTTTGAATTCAATCTCCAAATTTGCTCGTGTGTTTCTTGGCCTTTTACTTTCAAAAGCTTTTAAAAAACATACACAAACAATCCCAACACCTGCAACACCACTGTAACACCTCCATCCTCATCCACTATTTTCAAAAATAGCACCTTGCACCTTGACTTCTCCAGAACTCCTCAGGTACTTTCAGCTCAAGCTAAGAATCACATTAGCTTCCTGGGAACTTGAGGAAGCTAATCCAATCATTGAAACTCACTGAAAGCTACTCAAACTCCAAACCTGATACCCTCTTGCAAGGTAAGTTTTCTGACTTATGAACTCTTCATACAGGCATCATTAATGATTTATTTGTGAATGAAAAATGTAGATATCATTGCCCTAAAGCTAACCATGACCATAATTTTCATTAATTTTGTTTGAGCTTAGAGAATTTTAAGATTGAAGTTTCTAATATTTTTAGGGTTCAGATTAGGGCCATTAAAATTCATACTTATCTTTGATCTATAATTTTATTGCTTTGTATTTCTGAAATCGTGAGGAAATTTGCTACAAGTTTCCTGTTTACAGTTTTCATTTTTGTTGAGATTTGAATAAGATACAGAGGCTCTGGTTGGACGTGAGGTTGAAGATGAAGTTCAGGCCATGGACTTGTTTACTATCATATATTTGTTGTTTTGATTATATAAACGGATGTATAGCCACCACAGTGGTAGAAGCGCGCGCCTGTGACTATAGGGACCTGGGTTCGAGCCCCAGTGGTGCCCTTTTGGATTTTTTTTTTATTTTTCACACATTCTGACTCTTTTTTGGACAGGCGCCTGGGCCTCCTTTGGGCCTTATATTTTTTCTTACTGCTGACCCCCCTTGCTGACTATTTGCACCCTGGCCCATTTTTATTTTCTTTTTCTTTTTTATTTATTTATTTGTTTTCTTAAATATTTTATCTAATACTAAAAAAATCAGAAAAAAATATAAAAACATTAGGTTTATATTTTGATAAAATTTATTTATTTTTTACGCAAAAAAAAATTATTTTACTTAATCATACTTTATTTATTTTACTAATTATTTTTGTAAATTTAATTAAAAAACTAGGATTTTAGTTATTTTCTTTTACACCATTTAAATATATTATTTTAAAATATAAAAAGATCAAAAATATTTTATAATACTATAAATTATTCTTAAGATAAAAATACCAAAAATATTCTTCTTCTAAACTTAATTTCTTTTAATCAATTAATAGATTATGGTTTTATCTAATTTCTTTTCCTAGTAAATTTATGTTTACTTTTTTTTTATTAATTATTTTCTTTTAATTAATTAGGTTAAAACAAAATCTCTTTTCCCTAAAAGTCCAAATAAACATCCATTTTCTTTACATTTACATTCTTGTACATTTATTCATTTTGTACATTATTTATTTCAATTCTTGTACAAATTCAATATGGTTGTAATAAATAATTAGGCTTTATTTTCTTGCAATCCCCATTTATAATTTGTACACCCCTCCCACAAATATTGTAATAGCGTAGTAATTTTAAATTCCGCAATTTAT